GTGGCGGTATGAAAACCGTGACCACAGAACTAAGTCACATGCTTCATTTCAGACTACTCGATGAGCGTTCACCTGGCCAGTCTAATCAATGAATAGACTGATCGATAATATAGTAGCATGTCACAAACCGTGATGTATATGCATCCATTCTCTCTGAAAGAGCTGTCTATCCAATGATCACCCGGTGTTGCAAACAAGGTTATTATGACGAAAATGCACTTCCAGGGTACAAGTTTATGAATAAACTGACAAAAGATTACCGGATACACATGCCTGACGAGCGGGAAGAACCGCGAAACCGGTCGTGTGCTTCCGGGGAAATTTTGTCCAGTCATTCACATACCTATTATCAAATATATATATATATATATATATACATATATATAGTACTTACTAATTAGTCTAATGAACCGAACCCACATACGGCTTGCCATGCGATCAAACTTTAATCAGGCCGCCTTGTGAGCAATAAGCGTCTGTCTATTCGACCTGGCACTGATCTATCTATTCGACTGGTGGGGATAACGTCAATCATAACACACCTACAAATTTTGTGTTCTTTTGCCGTCTTTCGTTCGGTACACTGACCTGAGAAGTTGCACTACACCACACAGAGTACTTTTCATTCCATAACAGATCGATTTTTACCGTTCGACCTGATTGGTTTAGTCATATGTACATATATTGTATCATTTGTGATGACAAACTCGTATTCACTTAACGTGAGGTTGTATAATCTTCATTTGATGTACAAACCTACTCTCAGACACACGGATCTTGATTAAGCACGAGTGTTTGGCGGGCGCATTCTAGCTCTCTCTCTATCTCGCACTCATCATCAGCCAATTTAGTTATGGATTATGAAACCACAAATCTGGTGGAGATATGATAAAACAAAATTATTCGAAAAAATCTCTGATAGAATCCACGCACAAGGGACAAATGAGTGAAAATCGATCGGAGAAATTGAATTTATCAGATGAGAACAAAATCTGCGGAGGTTTTAGTTCACCGAATCCGAAAATTCTCTCCCGTGTGCAAGCCTCTTTAAATGAGAGTATTACCCGGATCCGTATTGGCCGAGCAATTCGTCGACGTAAAGTCGCGGCCGAACTGAATCACGTCAATCCGCCGGAGAATGTGACCTCGAAAAAGCATTCTGGTTGCTGTAATGGACATCATAACGGCCGCCTACCCTGTGTTGCGGGAAATCGTGTCGATCTGTCCCCAGACGGGACAATTCAAGTTCACAAAATCGAACCGAAGCGAGGGAACAAAAATGTTTTGGACTTGTTCCATCTTCCCCCAATTCCTTACTCGTTGCTGCTCACCAAGCCATCCAGAAACGATCGACGCACACGAAAGCGTGACCGTTCGCCCTACTTGATCCGCGAGATCGATTTGAACAGACTGATACCACCACGATGTCTGCCGCAACCGTGTGACCTCAATCCAACCCAATCATTGATCGAAGCCGAGACACAGGCTCGAAACTATGTGCAATCCCGCCGCACTTGTTGCATCAAATCCTATCCCATGGTCCCGAAAGCCACATCCACTGTGTTAGACAATCTGTGGTGTGAGACGAGGAGCCAACTGCGTCGTCATTTCATCGAATCTACGGTGCCGGATGAGCCCAGACTGCTCGGTCTGTCCACATTGCGTAGATCAACAAGGCAACTGGCCTCGTCCACGAGGGAGGTTTCATTTACCGAAGACGTGCTACCAGAACAAACGATCCAGTCGAAAAGAGAGCCGGATTTGGTAACGATTGATCTGGATGTGCTAGACGCAGCAGTTCATTGTTGTGTATAACGGAGTGAATATTCCTCCACGAGCTGTTCATCTTGAGTATACCAGCTATTTATGGATTGATGAAAGAACATGACAACTGCATACAAATGGATAGAGAATTGCATCTACATTGTGAGCATAGTTCTCTACCAATTTTTTTGACTTCCAAATCTGATTTGAATACCAATTGTGTTTGTTGCTGTTTGTTTAGACAGATAAAAAGTTTGTACACCTGTCCTCTAAAATAAATAAATGCAGTTTCCGATGAATGAAGCCCCAAGCTCACTTTACTTCCGATACACTCGGTCTGGTAGATGAAGGCGATCAAATAAACTTGGACGATCGGTTTGAGCAGTTTTGCGTCTAGGTTTGAATCTCTGAGACTGGACTTTAACCAGAACAGTTAGTTAATGACCGAACATGTTCCGGTAACAAATACCGGAAATGATTTCGCTAGTTTTATTTTCTCTTACTTCATACACAAACCAATTCAAAGCTTTTACTTTTCAGGTTTTGGGCTTGGCACCCAGTGAAAAGGTACCACAAAGCATGAAGAAATAGAAACATGGGTATTGATAACAGAATGCGAGCAGTCATCCACATCATCATTGTACGGCATAATACTGTGAAGCGAACTTCGCTGTTCGCTGCCAAGCCCATAATGCACACAAGAGAAGTGAGAATGTGTAAACAGGACAAGGATTGGGCCTATTTTCAGGGACGGTAAAAGAAAGCGAACCTCTATGGTCAACATAGAGTACATAGCCCAACTGTGCATACATACAATTTCAAGCATTTTGGACTGATAAGAAGTGACAGCATGATCGCCATTGCTGTCGGTTCGCAGCCACGACATTCGGTGTCTCCAACCATGCGGTTTTGGAGTCTTTTGGACCCCAACCCGAAAGACGAGAGACACCTGGTCTGCGTAATTGCTATGTGCACTTCTTCATACCTCGTCTCCGCGTCATCTGTTGGCCCTGCGAGCAGACGGGTCAATTTACTAGTGACTTAGATTGCGTAATTCTGCCCGTGATCTGCAGAGAGAACGAGAGCGCAATATCATGTGGGTTTATCCCCCCTCCCACATGATACTGAACATCAAGTTCGTCTTAAGGATCGCCCAGAAGTGAAACCAACAGATTTCAATTTGAAGGTCCCAATACCTATCCTGTAAGCTGCTAGTTGATCATTACGACATTGTTCCTATGGGCTTATTGCACGTTAAAAGTCATTGGCAAAGTATTGTGACAGGGAATAATGCCTTGAGTTATAGCGAAATTCCTCATTTTTTGTGGTATTTTCAGATGTGATAAGCTGTACTATATTGTATTGCATTGTAAGAGAATTGAAACGACTCTTTTGAAATCCGTGTTTAAGCTGTTCACTACTTCAAGTCTCATTAGTAGTCATTTTAAATATAGTCTACCGATAGACACATGTAGGATTTTGCATGGACATTATTTCTCGCTATGAGTACACCTCTTGTCAGTTATATTTGCCATGAAAAGTGTAAGACTTATGTAATTCAAACAAAATCATCAGGTGATGCATCCACATCTAATTGACTCCCAGAGTGCTGCAAAAGTCACTCTAACTTAAAACTAGAACGATGAGTCCGGCTTCTCAGCCCCTCCTCCCTTTCAGCTCGGAGAAACTTGAGTATCAAACATCATGTCTTGCACTTTCATTTAATCGCTGTGCATTTTAATTTTTACTGTCCGGTTTTTTCACGGTTACGTTTAGATATTATTCAGCACGGGAACTATTCAGCCCGCATTTTAAATATATTTCTACGTTACCAAAACAAGTATGGGATCACTTGAGAAAAAACTCCTTACATACCTGCGTTGGTGATCAAATCTCTTGAAGGTTGGAATGTGCGTCCCCACTACCTGGCCGATGCTATCAAATGCTGCAGAGACATCTCTGTTATAAAGGTGCAGGATAAACGCCGGCTGTCCGCGCAGAAGTATCGATGTCGAAGCCGCACTGCACCAGTCCGTCGGAATAACCGAACAAGCAACCCCAAGCTCCGACAAATGCGGTTGGTTTCTCGACAGTCGTGCATTTACTTTGGCAATCGTCCTTCACAGATGATCGTGGTTGTTGCATGATCACAAGGTAGCGACCAAAACAACTGGCACACAAAGATGTCTGTGAAAAACGAGAACCACAAAATTAGCGCATTCTCATTTTGTTGCTTGGTTTCTCGTTCTTCTTTTTCCATTGACAAAAACAACCATATTCCCATCGACATTCTCGGTTCAACGAACAGTCGACTGAATTGGATTGCCTGGGTAACTAACTATAAACTACCTTTTATTGATTAATTACTTTCCTAAATTTCTGATTACTATCAGCGGATTGCATATTGCGCATTCACTGCTGAGAGGAGACGGGATGATGTATCGAACGGGCAGAGAACGAGGGGAGCGGGGCAGAGGGAACGAGGTCAACATCCAAGCTAATAGCCGATCATTTCCAATTTATCTCTTCCGCATCTCTCTCGCTCGAGCAGTCCCACGAGTGACTCTTATCATTGAAGAACAAGTATGGCCGTTGGTGCGATGAGTCTCTTTAAGCGCGAAAACCTGGAAATTCAAATTTTATAAAAATAAATAGAAAAATAGGGGAAAATAGAAGGAACTAGTCACCTTTATAGGGAAAAATGGTTTTTTTCTTATCCATGATTTTCGAACGCAACGGAAGTTTCAATCGGCTCATTCAACAACGCATAAATATCTCCAAAAAAGAGTAACAAAGTTTATTTTAAAAAATGAAGAAACAATACGTTTGCTCCTTCCTTTCAGTGGCCGCACATTGTCGACAATGATAGGCTTGTGTTCTGTGTAAGGAATGCATATTCGGCAGCTGATCTCCACACATTTTACAATTTCAAAGCCTTTTTTCTCTGCCGGTAAAAGATAAGCTTCCAGTGGAAATGACCTTAATCTGAGATTGTTGGAGTATCATCCGATTGTTCAGAGGCACCAGGCACTCTTGATGTTCTTGGGTGTGGGTTTCACTTCTTAGGAGATAGGTAATGCATTCAAATGCGATAGGAATGTTTGTGATACTCTAAATCGATTGAGCCATTCGCACAAGGTGATGACCGTCGGCAGTGTAGCTCAGGGATAAGGGCTTGAAGTCCCGACCCGAATGTTCGCAGTTCGAGTCCTGACAGGGACACTGAAATACACACTGCTGACGAGTCCCAAACAGGACGCAACAGCTGCCCATTGGTATTGGTCTGTTATCACAAACATTTCCATCGCATTTGAACGTCATTCTGCATTTACCTATTTCAGTGTTTCTG